TGAAGACTTTCGAGTGCTTTTGTAGAGAAAGGTGCTTGTTGTACTAAAGACTGCACCGTTGAAGGGGTTATAGGGAGGAAGGGTCTAGAGACGCTGTAGAAATATCCAGAGACGTCGTTTAGAGTGATTGATGGTGACTAACTGTATCACTAATAGCGCACAAAACCAACCGTCACTCAAAGCATAATCGGGGCAGTGTCAAGCCGACTTATCGACTCTGCTGCTCCCTTACCTGCCTGCTTGTGACCGCGTCCTTCGACTTTGTATTCTACACTGTCTCTCTCCTCCTCCGCCCACACTTCTCTCCCTGTAAACCGCCTTCCAAGTTTCAATCAGCCTATCCGCGTTGAAGCAATGGTCTCCACTGTCTTAACAACGTCATTTGACCCGAAGTGGTCAGCCTTACGCGTAGGCTCAAAAATTGCTTGACTATATCCATCGTTGTCCTCCATTTCTACCTGCGTAATTCATTTGTCAAGTACATTCACGAGATATCTTCCTTCTCCCGCTATACTTTAACTACCTCGCACTGTCTTTGTAATCACCTCCACGGCAACAAGAAGCTATTGTTTGTTCTGTGGATTGCCTTCTCCACTTCTGCCACGGGACCATTGTTGGAAGCAGGGTTCGGAGTGCTATGCAACCCACTGTCTACCAGTCACTCCAAGTTTACTGTCTGGCCTGTTGTAATTAAGTGACCGACGAGCAGTCCGTGGACAGGGAGGAAGGGGCTCACAACAACACTTCAACGCAGCGTTTACAACCAAACACCACCACGTGTTGCCGTGATACGACGGGCAAGTGCAAATGGACTTTCTGCCTCTCTGTCTGCCATAAGAAACTGTCACCTGAATAAGAGGTGGTACACAGCAGACATGAATCAGTCAATCGTCCTTCACAATCCAACGTCGTGAGTAGGCTGCACTCAGACGCAATTTTCACTACTTCACGTTGATATCTGAATACAATGGAGTAGTCGAATGACAAGCTTATGAAGGACGTGAACCACTGACTAATCCACCGACCGGCCGACCGATTGATTGACTGATCGAGGGAGTTAGTGAATGACAGACTAGATGGCTGGCGGCTTTTGATTCGCCAGTTGAGGGTCCTTTACCTGTGCAACGATGAGCAGAGCAGTTTACTGTTTGCTCACTTGTGTAGGCATGGACTGGTTAACCTCGTGTCTCATGGTAAATCCCAATGATTCCCTTGATTCCTTCAACCAGATGGATTCACGCCGGCACCACAAAGAGGGACAATACATCGCAGTAGAGTACCCACTTACACACCCAGGCAGGCAGGAGTAGTCACAACACATTGCCGGCCCCGAGGCGACCCTTTCCACTGCGTGGCACCTCTCTCCCTTTAAAATGTGCTGTTTCATTGTACAACCTTCTACCTCACCGTTGGTGTGCTGTTCGTAGCACGACCTACGCACTCCGCTTCTTCAGTTGGAACCGCCCTCACGTGTGTGGCGTGTGACTTGTTTGTTGACTATTCGTAGACCCTGCCAGGAGTTATTCACACGGTGCCCTACGTGTGTCCTCACCTCATAGGTTTACGCGGATTTTCTTGTATAATTTCGTGTTTAAATCACAGGTAACCTTCGTGTCAATAAAAGCAAAGTTTTTCCCCCACCCCTCTTATCCCCCCGGCATAAAATGGAGCATTTAAGGGAGCAGACGGATTCCTCACCTAAAAGTCGCGACGGTTTAGTGAAACGTGGAGCCTTCCCCTAACCTTTAATATTTCGAGACTGGTTGGCATTCCTTTCCAAGGTTGTTACGTATGCCTTAATGTCGTCAGGAGGAGGCAAGAGATACCGCCTCTCTGCCTTGAACTGTGAAAGTGGACTTGAAACAACCCCAACCAAAAAGGCCTGAGTGTTAAGATTTTATCTGGAGATTGGTGTTGTCTTGGCTACTTCCAGACCATTCTGAATTGTCTTCATGGTCGTGGGCTCATTCAGCTCCTCTGATTGTTTAATAGGCCGAACATAAGGACTAGATTCAGGAACTATTAGGATAAGCCAAATCTGCGGGTGTTGGACCACCGTGTGCCCTTGGTAGTCAGCCAACAGCCGCTTACACCCACGCCGTATAATAACTTCTCCAAGTGACTTATTTCTTTTGAATGACTTAAAAACAGGCAGGAAGGTTGGGCCTTTGATCCCCTAGAGATCCTGGAGCCAAAAAACCCATTAACCGAGTTTCAAGGTCACCACATCCTGATTGGTGATCGTGATGGTGGTTGTCTCAAAGGCAAACAGATGAAACGTGTTAGCTATTTCTAACAAATACGGACAAAATACACTTTGCTATCATTATGTAGATCGAAATATAGCAACGAGAACATTATGAGACAGGATTCAGGCGTGGTGGGCTACCCATCCTCTGTGTACCCCAGCTGGTCTTCTTCTTATCTGCAGTGATAGGTTGTCACACTTTCTGTCTTTTTTATGGCTGAAAGAAATGGCAGTTACGCGCCACGCTTAGATAAAAGAATTAGATGCCACATATAAGTGACGCTGGAAATGAATTGTCTAAAAGATAACTATAACTCAAAATCCCTCAAATTATAGGATTTCAAGTTATTTTCTCAGTTCAGTCATTCGGTTAATCAATTCGCAACCGTATTAAATGATCTTGGAAAAGATATTCAGCACCCTAATCCCCTTATTTGTCGATATTTTGCACCGATGTTAGGCCTCGTTTTATCCTCAAGGCCAGGAAATGTGCTAGTAACCCCTGCTTGGAGGTATGGGTGCCATGTCTTCAAGTCTGC